AATTCTTATGCCAATCTCAACCCGAACATCAAACATCAAGTTTTTCTCCCAAATATAAACATCAGGTAATGAAACATGCAGCACAACCCAAACAGATGGCTGGACATGATGAAAAACATCTCAATGAAAAGCGCATCAAACAAGCTAACATCAATTAATATTATCAGTTCAGCTTCCTTTTTCAATCAGAGCAATATCGACAATTCAGTCTCAACTCTAGCTATTCCCTCTCATAACAGCAGCTTGATACATAGGGAAGGACAAGACAAAGGAAACAGAAATGACACCAAAATAAGCACGCAAGTAACCCTCGAAAAAAAATAAAACTCTACCTTCTACCATTACTGACCATGTCATTTTCCTTTTACGCAAGATGTAGGCAAGTTATTTTTTAATTAGAACTTTCAAACAGACATTTCATCCAACACCAAATGGGCATTAAAACATCATCAATTTTCGGCTCAAATGGGGTTATAATCAACCCCCAAAACTGTCAGCAACCCCAGGAAATTCAGTCCAATCAGCCCACAAGCATATGTATTCAAAAATTTAGGCTAATTAACAGGAGATTTGCACTAAAAAAATGTCACGGCAAACCCATTTCAGAAACTTAAGAAGAACTGAAATTTTAAGAGAAAACTTACAGGGCTCTCGGTTTCTGAAGTTGAATCGAAGCTGGACGGCGGCGGTGCTGGTGGTGGTCGACGGTTGAAAAGTGGCGGCAGAGGTGGAGAGTAGCAGCGGCAGATGAGGGCTGGCGGTGGCAGAGGCTGACGGCGTTGATTTGTTCGAAATGGCAACGGCCAGAGGTTGTTTAATCTCTTCTAACTCATCGATGGCGGCGGTGATGTGGGGTTGAGAACAGAGGATTTCTTCTGGCTCTTTGTTGAGGGTTTTGCCCAGGGAAAAGGATTTCGCCTTCCTCCGTCCCCACGAAGCTTCCCCCCTCTGTTTTTTCCTCTTTTGTTTCTACTCAGCCCCACCGTCTACTCTTTCTGATTCTCCCTCTGTTTCTTTCCTGCCTTCTCTTTGCTCTCTTTTGTTTCGTTCCTTTCCCCCCGCAGCCTCCCAAACTCCTCATTCCCCCTGTGCTTTTTCCCAGTCCCCTTTTTGTTCGCCGCCTCCTCTGTTTCCTTTCCCTCTGTTTTTCTTAATCCCCGAAAGCCTTCAAAAGTTCCAGGTCTTTCCCGTAGCTCTTTGTTTTTCTGTTGCCGAAGCCTTTCCCTCTAATCTTTCTTTGCTTCTGTTTTAGCCTCCGATGAATCACTCTTGTTCGGTGAGATTTCGCAGGCAGCGGATTGCGGCTCTCCCTCCGTCACTCTGTTTTTCTTTCTCAGCCGCAAAGTCCTCTCTTTTCTTCACTGTTTCATTTCTTCGTCGGTCATTTTTCCTTTCCTCCTAAAAATTTAGATCGTTCCCCCCCTTCCTTTTGGCTTGCGGCTCTTTGGCATTTTAAAGGCATCTCAAAGGACTAAACCTAACTTGAAAGGCCAAGATTTCAAACCCCAAAGTAGGCTTATGTGTCTTATTCTTGTCCCTTCGATTGATTTTTCTTTTTTTTCTTTTCCTTCTTCTTTCTTCTTTTTTTTTTTCTTTTTCAAAAACCTAGAATCGAAACAAACAAAATAACAATTAAATGGTTAAATGATTAAAGTTTAATTAAACGACTTAAAATGACTTAAAAATAAAAGACTAAAAGTAAATGAAATTAATTAAGAATAAAAATAATAGTAAACAAAAACCTTAAAAATTTGGTGTCTATAAGTTTCCAAGAATTTGCATCATTTCCGTCTATGTTTTTTTGCTTGTTTGGATGTTGAAGTTATGTATTTGGTTGCTTCGTTTAGAGTTTTGATGTCTAGGGGATAAAGTTTAGATCAAAGTTGTGCATTTGGATTGGAATCTGCGTTTGGAAATGAAATTGCAGCAAGAAATGTATGAATGCATTTCAACTGGCCAGTTTTCTTCTTCCTAGTCTCCCTTGATTGCATGTTCCATTATGTGCTTATGATAAATCTAATGAATGTTGGGCTGCAAGTTTTCTGTGGTTTCTGGGAATGAAAACTCAAGTGGCCGAAAAATTTCCAAATTGCCGCATGCTCTCTCTCTCAGTTTTTCATGCATAAAAATAAGACTGTGTGGTTGAAAAATGGGAAGATTACTGGATAATCTTGTTGTTTTGATCTAAATTTGTTGGTTTGGCCATTAGTTATATTTGGATTGAATCCAAGAATCCACCAGAAATTGAACCCAACATGCTAGAATTTAGTAGAAGCAACAAAAGATGCTTTTTCGGTCTTTGCGAATCTGTTGGAGAGAAGGGATCCTGAATCCTTGATCTTATGTCATTGTATGATTTGTGTTGGGTTGAGTCTTGTGGAATTAGTTGACAGGCTTGCATGTTTCATTTGATTTCGTGTTCATGGCTGTTTTCCTGTGTGAATGGAAGCCGAAAATTGCAGAAAGTTTCAAGAGTTGTTGAATGGCTTTTGTTGCAGAAGGCTCCCTCGTTACATTTACATGCATTTTGCATGAACAATTTCCAGAAAATTTGCTCTCTAGCCTCCCTAGTTTCCTATAATCCCATTTGGCTCATGAGATTGGAAAATTTCCTCAATTTTATCCCTTTAGCATGTTAGTTTTCCTTGGTATGTTTTCATTTGATTCGTGGATAGACTTTTTATGAATTTTAGGATGAAATAAGAAAGTTTAATAGTTTTTGGAAGAACTTATAGTTTTGATTTCCGTTTGATTAAGATCTTAGCTAATTTTATCGTTTAATTCTAATAAATTGTTTTCCATTCTTTTTTTAAGAAGTTTAGCACTTACTTTTGATAGATCCCATTTTGAGTCACTAATTTTAATACCTCATTTTAGAATTTTCGATTATTTCAATTTGGTTTTTGTTTGCCTTAATTTCTTTAACATAGATGATTTATTAAGTGTTTTCCTATCATGATTAATTTTTATTTCGTGTTTAATTTTTATCTTTGTGTTTAATTTTCGTTTCATGTTACTTAATTGTTAATTAAAGTGATACCTTGACCCTTTTTGTTATTTTGGAGGGTAAATAAATAAATTCGTGTCATTAGCATCCCAACTCAAGGGAGGTACACTCTATCCCTTATTTTTACTTTATTTGACCGTATGTGTGCCTATGTGATTTATGTGTTTAATTGCATGCCTTTTGAGTGTTTTCATTTTATTTATTTATTCGCTTTAGTCGTCTTAATTTCGTATATTTATTTTAGCTTCATTTTGGTTATTTAAAAGGCATTTAAGTGCCAAGTTGTAATAGTTAGGTTTATTTTATTTTATTTATTTTCATTTCCCCTCTTGGATTGTAGTAGGCTTCCCCCGAATGTAATAGTTAGGGCTTTATTTGTTTTACTTGCCTTAGGTGTGTTTTGCATGTCTATGTGCTATGTGTTACTGCTTTCTTAGGATCTTGCATCTAGATATCATGCTCGTGTGTTATGTGCTATATGTGATTTATGTGTTTATATGCTTTTATTAGGTCTTACATGATTTATTTGGTTGTAATAAATGAATGTCGTCACCACGCTAGTCCAACGCTAGTTGTGGCCGCCGTTCCCGAATCCGCACTAGTCCAATGCTAGTTGTGGCTCTTTGTTCGATTTCTCATTGGTCCAACGCTAGTGAGAAAGTGGAAATATGGGCCAGTCCAACGCTAGATCCTTAGGAGCCCTTCGCGCGTTAGATCATGATTGTGTGATAAAATCACTTCATCTCATGCATATCTTTACTTTCTAGGGCCTCTTTCACCATGTTGCATGACACTTTCCTTATATATGTCTATCCCTTCTCTCGTATTTTCCCTTATATAGGCATATTACTTACCCCTTTGTATGAGACATGACATTAGACCTGCATTTCATCTAAGCACTAGACCTAGGTTAGTACATTTGCTTGATTAGACTAGGAAACACTCCTTGGATATGGGATATGGACGAGTTTGGCTTTCTAGCCTTAACACGCTCGTATTCCCTCTATTAAAGGGAAAATTGAGTCACGAACATTAGTCCCCCGTACCCGACATAATGCACTCCTTTAAGACATATATATTTCTATAATTATTTTATCCCTTTTCTTTTCTTGGAGTCTCATATTTTTGCATTATTCGTGACCTCTCCAAAGAGTCATTATTGGGCGTCACAATTAATGTGATTGGTACCATTCGAGCTTTGAAGAGAAATTTTGCCCCCCGATGCCCCCTTAGGTTTAGGGCTTGCATTCATATAGTGCATCAAAATGTGATAAATCTTAAGGGTAAAATAAGAAAATCTTTGACTAAATCGCGCAACTAGCCTTGGCTAGGTTGAGAGGGTGCCTTGGACTTCGTCCTTGCCTTCCCTTTCTTCAAATGTGACTCCCGAACCTTTTTCTTTGATTTACGTAGATTTGGAGTCGTTTAAAAGGGGTTTTTCTATTTTTTCTTTAAAAATTCATTTTTAGGTGACTTGGTACACCTTAACTCTATACCAAGTGGCGATTCCATTTTTCATTTAAAAACCCTTTTTAAGCTATATTTTGGGTCAAATCGTCGCATTTTCAAGTCACATTTAGACCCATGTTTGTCATTTTCTTTTTAAATCAAAAATTCATTTTCCAATAAAAAATTGAATCAAAAACCATTTTTCTAAACTCGCCATTTATTTATTTTTTTAAAAAATGGGGCTCGACAGGAGCCCCATTAAAAGGGAGCACAAGGTGGACAAGGGTACCCAGGGACTGCCTCACAAGGAGGCCAAGAGTGAACTCCTCACGAAACTTGTGAATTTTGTGGGAAACCAAGGCATGGGGTAGATAACTGATGGAAAAAGTGATGTGCGACGGATCTAGACGAACACCAAGTTGGGATGATTTGCGGAACTTTGCATAAAGTTCTTTAAGGAATTCAAAACCAAGCAACTTAGCATCTAATGTAGTGATAAGTGTGTGTCTTCGCGAGAGTGCATCAGCCACTACATTCGTCTTACCTGTCTTGTATTTGATTACAAAGGTAAAACTGTCAATGAAGGTAATCCATCGTGCATGTCGCTTACTCAACTTGTCTTGGGACTTGATATGCTTGAGCGACTCATGATCTGTGTGCAAGACAAACTCACGAGGGCGAAGGTAATGTTGCCATGTTTGTAGAGCTCGCACTAAGGCCATCAGTTCCTTATCATATGTTGAGTAGTTTAGAGCAGCTCCATTCAACTTCTCGCTAAAGTAGGCAACTGGGCGGCCCTCTTGAAGTAAGACAGCACCAATACCTAAACCAGAAGCATCACACTCTACTTCAAAAGCTTTGTCAAAATTAGGTAAACTAAGAACAGGTGCATGTGTGAGCTTGTGCTTAAGTAATTGGAAAGACTTAGCTTGTTCCTCTCCCCAATGAAATTGCACATCTTTCTTGACAATTGACGTAAGTGGGGCAGCAATTGTGCTAAAATCCTTGACAAAACGCCTGTAGAAGCTTGCCAAGCCATGGAAACTTCTCACCTCACTTACAGTGGTAGGGGTTGGCCATTCACTAATAGCCTTCACCTTGTCTTGATCAACATGAATTCCCTGCTCACTTACAACATAGCCTAGGAAAACCAATTGATTTGTGCCAAAGGTACACTTCTTAAGGTTAGCGTAGAGGCTCGCCTTGCGAAGTGCATCTAGGACCATTTGTAAATGCACAACATGCTCATCTAGACTCTTACTATAGATCAAAATGTCATCAAAGTAAACGACCACAAATTTACCAATGAAAGAACGTAAAACATGATTCATGAGTCTCATAAAAGTACTTGGTGCATTGGTTAGCCCAAAAGGCATGCCAACCACTCAAAAAGTCCATGTTTTGTCTTAAATGCAGTTTTCCATTCATCTCCTTCTTTCATGCGAATTTGATGGTAACCACTTTTCAAATCAATCTTAGTAAAAATGATTGCACCATGTAATTCATCAAGCATGTCATCCAAACGAGGTATGGGATGGCGGTACTTTACCGTGATGGCATTAATTGCCCTACAATCAGTGCACATTCTCCATCCTCCATCTTTCTTTGGAACAAGTAGAACTGGTACAGCACAAGGGCTTAGACTCTCTTTAATCCAACCCTTACTAAGCAACTCCTCCACTTGTCGTTGTTGCTCCTTGGTTTCCTCAGGATTGGTCCTATATGGTGCCTTGTTTGGAAGGGAAGATCCAGGAATGAAATCAATTTGATGTTCAATTCCCCTTAATGGAGGCAATCCATTAGGTATATCCTCAGGAAAGATGTCTTGATACTCCTGTAAGAGGTTAGTAATAACACTAGGCAAAGAAGCATCAAGAGCATTAGTGAGTAAGGATTCCTTGCCAAATAAAATAAATAAAACCTGATTAGAATGCAAGGCCTGTCTCACATCTTTCACCTTGGCAAGCATGCTGGGTTTTCTCTCCTGTGTGGGCTCTAAGGCCGAATGAGAGTGATCCAACTTGCTTGAAGAAGGGTCGGCCAATACTAATTTCTTAGCTTTGGCGTTGTCCTTCTTGGTGGTGGTATGCAAGTCATACTCTTTTTGTAGACTAACTTGATCCTCATGCACTTGTTGAGGTGTAAGAGGTGCAAGTGTAATCTTTTTACAATTATGTATGAAAGAGTATTTGTTCAAGAAACCATCAAAAGTGACCCTTTTGTCAAATTGCCAAGGACGCCCTAAGAGTATATGTGCAGCTTGCATTGGTACTACATCACACATAACATCATCTTCATACCTACCAATGCGAAAAGTAACCAAAACTTGTTTATGAACACGTACCTCTCCACTGTTGTTTAACCACTGAAGCTTGTAGAGACGGGGGTGCTCACTAGTTGGCAAGTTTAGTTTCTCCACCATCAATGCACTAGCAACATTAGTGCAACTTCCGGGGTCAATCACCAAGCTGCATACCTTGTTGGTCACATGGCACCTAGTGTAAAAGATGTTGTCATGTTGAAGCTCATCTTTACTAGCTTGAGTAGCTAGTGCCCTTCTTGCTACCAATCCAACTTTGTCTTGAGTTGGAACTTCCTCTATCTCATCTTCCTCTTCAACCAAGGGAGGCATGTCTTTGTAATCCTCCTCTTCATCATCAGTGACACTGTCTCCATTTGGTAGGACAAGCATGGTCCTTGGGTTTGGACATTGACTTGCAATATGCCCAACTCCTTGACACCTCCAACATTTGGTGTCACGATTCCTAGGTTTTGAAGTTTCAATTGTTGGCTTGGAAACAACCTTGGAGTCGGTTTTGGTAAAAGGTGGCCGTGAGCTTGACCCTTGGTCGTGCTTGGGTTTTGGAGTGTTCCAAGCATTCGGACCTCTCTCTTCCCTTCTAGGCTGGAATGGTCGAGTAAACGTTGGTGGATGAGGGTTATAATTTCTGGTTGTACCCCTCCTCTTGAGCCTTTGCTCAATCTTGATAGCCTTCTCCACCATATCTTCTATCTCCACATAGTATTGAAGCTCCAGTTGATCGGCTATTTCAACCCTCAGTCCACTGAGAAATCTTGCCATTGTAGCCTCTCGATCTTCTTGAATATCAGCTCTCAACATGGAGATTTCCATGTCCTTGTAGTAGTCCTCAACTGAGCGTTGACCTTGTGTCAAGGTTTGAAGTTTTTGGTACAAGTCTCTATGGTAGTGACTTGGTACAAATCGCTTCTTCATCAGTCTCTTGAGCTCAGTCCAAGTGGTTATAGGTGGTTCTCCACACCTTCTCCTGCTTGTAACCACTTGTTCCCACCAGACTATGGCATAGTCGGTGAATTCTACCACGGCAAGTCTCAATTTTTGTGCATCGGTGTAGTCATTACAATCGAATACTAGCTCCACTCGACTTTCCCATTCAAGGTACGTATCCGGATCAGATTTGCCTTGGAATGGAGGAATCTTCATCTTAATCCCTTTGGTCGCATCACCAATGGCTCTTGTGTTTCTCCTCGGTCTTCTTTGCTCGAATGCCTCATGTTCCGAATCGGCATTGGAATCACTAGATTCCTCCAGGGTGGATTTTCCCCTAGATTTCCTAGAAGAAACCCTAGATGAACTTAGTTGATCAATCTGCTCATGGATTGTTTCCAGCCTTTGGTCAAATCTCCTCTGCATTTCCTTCCACATATCGTCCATTTTACGTGATAACTGAGCAATGGTAAGTTCATTTTCCTGAGACATGGTGAAACCTGCAAAACTTGACAAATTGTTAGTAGAAAATGACTCGCTTGCTCCCTGAAGTGTTTCACTCCTCTCGTGTTTTCACTCAAGTGTTTTTTTGTCACTCTAATGCTCTCACCAACTCACTTCTCAAGCCACTTGATTGTTTCCTTTGAAGAAATCAGAAATTTTCTCAAAGACGTTCAATCAAACCTTAATCAAATAGTATCCAATTGTACCAAAGGAACAAGAAGCAAGAGTAGAAACGGAAAGCTCAAGTACAAGTACAATGAATGGAATGTCCAAGTACAATGATGGAGTGTCCTAAGTGTTTACTTAATTTCCTAATTGATTTTGGGAACCAAGTTAGGTGTTGGATTTATTTGGAAAATTCCTTAAAGTCGGCTAACCAAATCAGAATTGTTACCAAAAAATTTCCAGATTTCGTACCCCTTAACCTTCCTCAAAATCGGCTATACCAAATCAGGGTTATTTCCAAAAATTTCCAGATTTCCTTTTCCTTATGCCTTTCCTAAAGTCGGCTGGTCAACCAAGTGCAAAACAGATTTTGGTAGCTTCCTATTCTGCCCGAAACTATCCTCCAAAATTCCAGAATTTCCTCTTCTTAAATCCCTCTCAAAGTCGGCTAGAACTTCCTAAAAAAATTGTCCAGATTTGGTAACTTCCCACCTCTAATTTTTTTCCAGAATTTCCTCTTCTTAAAGCCGATCCTTACCCCCTAAATTTTCGTCCCTTACTCTCCCTCAACAAACAAACAATTCGGCCCCCCCTCCTCTTTGCTCCACACAAGGACAGATTTGACTCTTGGTCCTAGGCAATGGCTTCATAAGATAATGCAAGTGATGTTACACAAGAATTTCCCAAGCGGCTTGCCCAGCCCCATGTCGGTTCCTATTCATGGCCGACTCCAATTTCGTTTTGTTTTATTCTGGGATTTTGACTTGTCTATGCGCGTTGTACGGTCCGGAACGTATTCGATCGCTCTAATCTGAACCGTTAGTCCTGGTGAGAGCTGGGCAGGCGGTCCACCGAACCCTTTGGTTCGCCTTAAGGTGAGGTGGGGCTGTCACAGTTGGTATCAGAGCCTGCTTCGCGTGGTCTCTGCGCGGAGCGAGCCTGGACTAAGTGGTGGATAGGTATGAAGGATTAAGTGCTCGTTTGAGCCTAAGCTCTGAATTGTGAATGTTATAGGCTTTAAATTTTCCTGTGGTATGTGAGGACCATAGATAGGTACGTCTGGTAGGAATTTCGATTTTTGATGATTTACTCTTGGGACTAGCCAGCTCGAGAGGTGAATTGTCTTATTTCGGATTCTTGTGCCTGAGTACTCCAGAGTTGAGGCGGTGTTCGTAGGTGAGAGTCCTCAGCGGGGCTATCAGGAGGAACCTCCTCCTCGGGATCCTCCTCCTCCTCATCAGGAATCACCTCAGTAGCGTCCTCAACCAATCTAGTAGCATCAGCCAGGATCTCGAAAGCCCGGTTACGGACATCCCGTCCTAGCCTAGTAAGTCGAGCCCTAGTATCCTGAAGCTCCTCATTAACCACTGCAGATGTGGCTACCTCACCCTCCAGCACCTCCTCGAGCTCGGCAATCCGCTCACCCTGAGCGCCGACCATCTGCCTAAGCTCGTCTACTCGTAAAAACTATTATTTTATGCCTAATTTATGGCTTAATAAATTATTTAATTGGATTTTTGCCACGAGGAATATTTTCTAGTCTTATTAGACCTAAATATATGGTAATATAACTTCATTATATTTTTTAAAGTGACTCGTTCTAAAAATTAATTTCCTGGAGTGCGTTTAGTAAAAATAGTGAATAGTACTTGGAGATTTTATCCGCGTAGTAGCACAATAAGCTTGGAATATTGGAGACTTGTACTACGGTCCTAAAATAGGTAATCTTATGAGTAAATACTCAAGTGATAGTTAGTAGTGCAATCGTTACAAGAATTTCTCGGAAGTTTCGCGTTATAGCGTTAAAATTGACGGTACGCGTTTTCACACGCGCGACTTTATTTGAGGGACTTTAGACCCTTATTTCGGGACAATTAAGAGTGAATAATACTTATACAAATATAAATGTATTGGAGGTTTAGTGCACTAGTGAACCAAACGCGCGAGAGAATCGAGCCGCAATCGCGCCAAACGGCTCCTAATGAGAGTTGACTTTTGGGTGAATTTCCACCACTTATTTCACCTTCTCTTGGAAGCTAAAGGAAATCAGATTTGTAACGGCCCCATTTTCCCCTAAGGCGAACCAGAGGGGTCAACGGGCCGCCTGCCCAGCTCTCGCCAGGACTACGGATCAGTTCACGCGATCTAAAACGTTTCGGGAAAGTAAAAGCGCGCTCGAACAAGCCACAAGAACCAAAATAACAAAATAATAAGAAAAATGAAAACGATGAATAGTGCCCGGAATAGTGGAATCCGAGATCCCACCAAACCTTAATACATCGCAATTCAACATTTACAACTACATCGGCATGTCAAAAGCTATTCATCATAGGCATACAAAGTTCGGTTTGCCAATCAAAAGATGAACCCAATACACATTAGGGTTTCATGCAAAGAGCTATTCAAAATAGACGTATACATGGCTCAATTTGGCAACCAACAAGTATGAGCTTCCAAAAGTGATTATTTTCCTGTAAGGAAAACAAATGGAATGGTGTGAGCTAAAGCTCAGTGAGCAACTATCACACAATCAGCCAAGATCACTTAAACATAACCGTTCATTGCAAATATTCAAATAATAAGCAAAACAATTTGGGAAAAGGATACGGTCGGCTCTCAAGAGCCCATTTCCACGCTACATGCTTGATCTAACTCAATTGACCCTCCGTCAATATTAAAAGTACCAAACCGTAGACCTCTCTTCACTTCCATTCCTTCCACCCAACATTCCCCAACCGGGCCCGCACTCCAAGCAGTAACTTTAGGTGATACTCGAGTACACCGGAACCAAGGGTCTCATTACCACAAGATTCCCATTTCAGTCCCCGTGGCGAGTCAATTTTCACGACCAAGCCCTCGCCGGCTCGATTCGAGTGACTCCCAACGGGGTTGAGCTCAGTAGTACAGTAGGGTCGTTAGATACTCGTCCAACCGACACCCAAACAATATCAGTACAGTCATTCATATAGCAGTACAGTAAGACAGTAAAACAGTACACAGTCGTTCACAAGCATAAAAGGACTGAGGGCGGTCAAGTACACCCTCACCCTAATCATTTCCAATAGCCAAACAAGCCTTCAAGGCATCACAATCACCTATAGCAAAGCCACATTATAAATCCAAGTGAGTAGTATACTCACCACTTAAGCAAGTGAGGTTTCATGCACCGTCGTCCCTAGTACGTCGTGCACTAACGTCACGCCCTAGAATATGTAAACAAATACCATAAGACTCGATAACGAGTCACAAATCCAAGCCAATTATAACCCAATAGGGTTTCATATGCATAATCAGGCATCATAGCAAACCAGAAATTTCAGCAATGCACTAATGTGACCTTACAAAAAAAATAGTTTTTGGCTTCCAAATGCGGTAATGGCACAAAATGCGCTACGCTCATCGGATGAGGGTGTAAGACCCACCATCACGAAGCTAAAAGACAGGGCTACAACAATGTAGAAGGCCACTCAGTCCAAATCCTAGCACAACTAGGTCAAAAATGCAGAAAACTAACCCAGAACCGTAATTGCAGGTTCCCAAATCCCACAAAACTATAATCAGTCCAATTCAGTCTATACAGGTCCAAATGCATTGATTCCAAAGGAATATGAAAGCTAAGACATCAAGCTACATTTCATCAGAAGACACCAACAACAAAATCCAAATCAATTCCAGTCAAAACAGACAATTACTATCGCAGTTCGCACATTCTGTTCACCAAAAACAGCAACAGTAAAAACGGCATAACTCACCCTACACTACTCCAAATTCCCTGAAATTTTGCAGGCACTTCAAACTCATCAATACCTACAACGTTCATGTTTTGAGAAAAGTCCAATTCAGCCTCTATCTATGACCTAAAATTTCGGACAGAATGTTCAACCAAGAACCCTAATTTTCCAGAAATTCTTCCAAATTCAAAATTGATTGCATTTATCAACAATTCACACCTACTAGAGTCAAAGCCCCTTATTACCAACCATCAAAAACAACCACACCATCAAGATCATATGAAACCAGAAAATTCCTCATAAAATAAAAAACTTCACCAAATCAAGCCAAACCAAGAAATAAATCATATAATCCATCACTTTAGCCACTTCTAAGCCAAACATAAGCATCATTAGATGTAGTAGGGTGTTCAAGCATCACTTACCAAGAAATCAAGAGAGATAGGGATTGTGGACACCTTAGCTCTTCAAATCAACTTCACTAATACACTTATTAGCACTAGAAGAAAGGATTTTATGGAGTGAAATCTAGTCTAAGCTCTTGTTTGTGGAAGATTGAGTGAGATGGAAGCTTGAAATTTGATGAACTTTCTTCCTTCTTGCAAGAGAGAGGGCCGGCCAACACAAGGTAAGAAAATGGTGAATTTTGTGAATTTTTGGAGATATTAACTAATTTGGGTCAAAAGTCAAAAATGTGAATAGTAAACCATAAAGTCCAACCAATCATATTGTGACACTTGTCACACTCATTAATGCATTTCTATCATTTGTTCACCTCTCACATCAATCACTTCACACTCCTCTACTTATCCATTAACACCCGATACATTTTACACAGTATCCGGAATCTAACCTTATTGGCCGAATTTTTCCGAACTTTCCGCACTAGTGGGTCCCACGTCCTTTCTATATACTTAATTTTTCAAAAACTATCCAATGCTAGAAAAATCATCTAACAACTATAATTACTCATAAAATCCACCAATAAAATATTCCTAGGCAAAAAAAAAACGCAGAAAACATGCAAATAAAGGGGAAAAACCCTAG